AGAAGAGGCTGTGGGATCCCCTGGAACTGGAGTTACAGACAGTTGTTAGCTGCCATGTGGGTGCTGGGATTTGAATCTGGGTCTTCTGCAAGAACAGTGTTCTTAACTGCTGAGCCATCTCTCCAGCCCCATGTTGTTCTTTTTTGTGTGCAGAACCCTTTTAGTTCAATATTTCCCACTTGTCAGTTCTTGTTATTTCTGGGCCTACTAGAGTCCTTTTCAGAAAGTCATTGCCTGTGTCTTCCAGTTTCCCTCTGTTTTCCACTAGTTTCAGATTCCCAGGTATTACATTAATGTTTCTGATACATTTTTGAGTTGGTTTCTGTACAGGGTGAGAGTAGGGATCTGGTTTTAGTTTTCTACATCTAATTTCCCAGCACCATTCATTAGAGGTTGTCTTTTCTCCAATATACGTTATTTGGCAGCTTGTCAAGAACCATATGGATATAGTTTCGTGGGCTTGTTTATGGGTCTTCTATTATAGTCTACTGGCCTACATATAGGTTTTTGTGCCAGTGCCATGTTGTTTTTGTTACTATGGCTCTGTAGTATAATTTGCAGTGAGGTATTGTAATATTTCAGTTCTTTCTCTTCCTCTCCTCCTTCCTCTTCTTTCCTTCCTGCACCTCTCCATCCCCCAATCTCTGTCTGTATGTGTGTGTGTCTGTGTATTTCCAAAGGTCTGTTTTACCTATTTTGAGACTTTTATGCTTTCATTTGAATTTCTGGATCTGCCCCTCTCCCCACTTTCTGTACAGAAAGTCACTGGGTATCTGATGGGGATAGTACTCAATCTGTAGATTGCTTCCAGTAATACAGATATTTTCAAGATAATTCAACTTCTTTTCCTACTTGTATTCCTTTTTTTTTTCTTTTTCTTTACTGCTCAAGAGTAGAGAGAAGGGACACCCTTATCTTGTTCCTGATCTTTAGAGGAGATGGTTTTAGTCTCCCCCATTCAACAGAATGTTGGCTACAGGTCTATTGTACAGTCTTTATTGTGTTGAGGTATGAAACTTCTATTCCTGATTTTGGGACTTTTATCGTGAAGATATGCTGAATTCTGTTAAAGGATTTTTTTTTTTTTTGCTTATAGAAATGAGCATGTGCTTTTTGTCCTTGTATCTAGTTACATGGTATATGTCTACTGATTTGCAGATATTGAACCTCCTTGCATTCTTAGAAGGAAATCAACTTGATCATAGTGTATGATCTTTTCAATGTGCCCTTCAATTTGATTTGCAAATATTTTATTGAGGATTTCTGCAGCTATGTTCATTAGGAAAACTGGCCTGCAGGCCTTTTCCTCCTTGTTTCTTTATCTGATTTTGGTATTAAAGTATTACTGTTTATGCAGGAAGAGTAACTGGAGTTAGCTCTTCTTTAAAGGTCTGAGGGAGCCCAGGAGAGATTGCTCATTACTGCTTTGGTCTTGTTTCTTGTTATTGGTCTACTCTTTTTTTTTTTTTTTAATTCTTGGTCCAATTTTGGTAGGCTATAAATATGTAGAAATTTATCAAGGTCATCTAGATTTTTCAGTTTATTGGGTTATGTATTTTCAGAGTACTCCATAATGATTCTCTGGATTTCAATATCCTACTTTTTTCATCTCTAATCTTACTATTTGGATCTCTGTTCTCTTTACTTTGGCCTAAGTATTTGTCAATCTTGTTTATCCTTTCTTAGAACCAATTCTGTTTCATTGATATTTTGTATTGTTCTATTAATTTCTATTTCATTAATTTCAGTTCTGTTGTTAATTCTTTTTTTAAGGTACATCATTAAGTTATCTGAGACCTTTTGTGCATGCGTGTGTGAGTACATATAACAAAAAAAAATCTAGGAAGTACAATGGTTAATATTCCTAAATACTAAGCTAATGCAAAAGGGAAGCAATTGTTAACTCAGGGCTGAGTGTTGTATAAGAAAGAAAAGAAATAGAAGCACGGGAGACTACTGGCTCAGCAGTAAACACATAATAACATAAACCCTGAAAGCTGATTTCATAAACAATCAGAAACCAAATATGACACACTTTCCTGGGGAGATGGGGAAGGGGCAAAAGGAAACATTGTATAAACAGGCGAAACTAAAAAAAAAAGTCACTGTTCTTATTTCCCCACATTTTCCAATCTTTAAAATTGGGAATCATAATTTATAGCTTCCTACAATGTAAATAGCAGTGTTTTTTCTTCTCTTTAAGTGAGAAATAAAGTAGTAAGACTTGATATTTGGTGAAATGAGTTGATGCCTAAAACTGATAAATAAGGAAAAATCAGAATAAAGATGCTATTCTGCTGTTGCTGTTTTGCGATGGATATCTTGCTATGTTGTCCAGATTGTTTTCAAACTTGTAAGCCTCCTACCTCACCCTCCACAGTTGCTGGAATTACAGGTGTGTATAAATAGCTAATAGAGGTGCTACTTAAAAACATGGAAGCTGGAGGCTAGAGAAACAGTTCATTAGTTAAGAGCACTTGTTGCTCTTGTAGAGGACCCAGATTCAGTTCCCAACATTCACAGGGTGGCTCATAACTGTAACTCCTGTTCCAGGGGATCTAATGCCCTCTCTGGCCTCCATGGGCACTGTGCACATGTGGTGCACTTACATACATGCAGGCAAAACACTCATACACATTAAGAAGCAAAAGCAAAAGCAAAAAATTTTAAAACCTTAAAGGTAACTGAAAGCTCCATCTCCTTTGAAATTGGTAATGAAGACCAGCATTTTATATCTTGTGGATTGTTTTGACTTTTAAACTTGTACTTACATTACTTCTAGTTAAAAAAGATTTAAAAAGCAAAGAAATTTAGCAGCACATCAAAAACAGATATCATGATGCTTCAGACTTACAGAAGGAGGCTTGTCCACAACAATTCCAGCAAGCAACTGAGACTGTGGTCCTGCTGTTTTCAAATCATATCGGTTTTGTTCCCGAATCTGAATTGAAACAGTAAATTTTTGAGGTAATAGTGAAGATCATATTTGCCTTCTCTTTTCCTAAAAGTTTATTGCTTCACATTCCCAAGTGAGAGTGTCCTCAATTTTCACCTTCATGAAGACCCTTTTCAGCATCCCAACACTAACATCAATCTCTACCCCTCTTGGTGTCAGGTCTCCTAGCGTCATACTTGGAGAGAACTGCACTTCTCACTAATACAAGGGCTAGTTAAGGAAGAAATAAGTTTAATATTTCTTTCCCATGTAGCTTGCTCACTGATGGCCAGGCACAACGGGAGAGATATCCAATAAAGCTAAAATTACAGACATTGACTTTTAGGTATTCAAACACCCAAGCTTGTTACCAGATTCAATTACTAGTGGCAACCATGCAACAGTGTAAAAACATCTCCTCTGGACACAGAGGACCTTGTCTTACCTTATTTCTCCGTTCTAGCACCTCATTCGGGTTTGTGTTTAAAGGGACAAACTGGTTGGGATCTTCAATTTTGATAGGTGTCCCACTACTAGTTTTAGAGGAGTCCTCTGCTTTCATCCACTAAAGAATAAAGAATAAAAAATTTCTAGAATGAAGCTTAGTGTCAAGGAAATATTAGATACTGAGTAACTGCTTAGTTTCAGGGGCATGTTATCACCTGTCATATTTTATTAAGTATCTTAGTATTCATACTAGTTAGAAAACTCCTCACAGAGGGTATTCACTTAAGAAAATGAAACAAATACCATTACAGTTAACATGAATGATCAGTTACATGGCTAATTAAACTTTTTCTTGACAGCTGAAACATGATGCTGAAAATATTTCAAACAGACGTAGAGCATGACTGTGTCTGATGACATTTGAAGTTATAGCTCTTGCACTCAGTTTCATCAGGTGACAACAGCAAGAAGTCACTGAAGAAGACTCAAGGAATCTCTTTAAGATACAATTTTCTAGGCTTTGCTTTTTAGTTTTGGCTGAACAAAAAGGCCAAGGCTTCAATTTTTTAGTGGGATAATTTGTAAATACATTGCAGATCCATAGGGCTTGGAGGACCATATATAATTTCTCTCATTTACGTCACAAAAATCTAACCTTTAGAGAATGCTAATACTGGACAGATTAATGATGGCCGACCATCAATCTCTGTTAGCAAAATGATTTCTGAGAAAACTGATTTTAAGTATGTTCTTTTCTTGCAGATAAGAAATCTTATAGATGAAATACCTAAGTATTTCCATATTCAATGTCTCATATATATATATATATATCCCATATTATATATATATATGAGACAGGATGAATTAATTTTGAAGAATATTTGGTGGAGCTGGGAGTGGTAGCACATGACTTTAATCCTAGTACTCACAAGGTAGAGGCAGGGAGATCTCTCTGAGTTCAAGGTCAGCCAGGACTGCATATTAAGACTGTCTTAAAAAAAACAGTTTGAGGGGGAATGGATGGGGGTGCTGACAGCACAGTGGACAGTGGCAGGGATAGCAGAGTATGGAGGCTCTAGTGGGAGAGGAAGGCTGTCTACCTGAC